TGTTATGTAATCGGGTTTTCGAGGCTCTAAATCTGTGCAGAGAAAAGCACAGTGAGGATTTGTGTTCAGTCCTGTCGTTTATCCAGAGGAGGATCCAAACTCTTTAAACTGTGAGACTTCATTATTTCTGGTTTCACTCTGCCCCGCTGCTGCCCTCTGCATTATAACACTTAAACTGAAACACATTTATTCATATTTTATTCATAAATCAGGAGCTGTTGGATAATAAGGCCAGAGTGGACACGAAATCTCAGTGTCTTTTGATATTCTAAAAGTTTTGATATAGCATAATCAAAACTTTTAGACTTTTGAGAGCTTTTCTTCTTGTGTTGTCACGATAATCAAATTTCAAACTCAATTTACTACTTAAAAAGATAATTTCCTTTTTTATCATTTCTTAAAGTGACCAAATGTGTACAGAAATCTCAAGTAAAGTTATGTATGATAGGGTGACCAAACGTCCGTTTTTCCCCGGACATGTCCGTATTTTGCGTCATGTCCTGGGCGTCCGGGTTTTTTTTTTTTTTTTATAAAGTGATGCAAATGTCCGGGTTTTCATTACTGTTCATTGGGGCCATTAAACTGAGCGTCTCTCGTAGCGTCTGTGACTCAGAAGGAGCGAGACACAAACAGTCGGTCAGTCTGCAACATACCGAAGCACAAATGCACATTTGACAATGACGTACAAGAAATTCTCTGTTTTCCATCCCGGTCGGGACAAGTGTGAGTCCATGTGCACAGGTTGTGAGGTGAGAGTACAGTGTTCCTCGTTTATCGTGGGGGTTACGTTCTAAAAATAACCCGTGATAGGTGAAATCCGCGAAGTAGTCTGCTTTATATTTTACAATTATTCCATCTGTTTTAAGTCTGTAAAACCTCAGCACAAACTTTATACACTTTTCTCAGACAGGACAGGTGCAACACTTTTTACTTCCTTCTTAAAACTTATTGCTGCTGTCGTCATGTTATTTTCCTCCTTCTTTATGTAACGAACTGAAGATTCATTTATTCCGTAATGGAGCCAACAGCGCAGAGAACTGCACGTCTCCATTTTTGAGACCCCCAGTACAACACCACAACCACACAGTACAACACTGCACCCGCGCAGTACAGGACCGCACCTGCCCGTTAACCCGAGATTATATCAAACGTTTGCACTGCCTACGCCACGGACTGAACCAAGACCAAACCAGGACTAAACCAGGACGGAAGAGGAGGACTAATCCACGACTGAACTAGGACTAAAACAGGACTAAACCAGGACCAAACCAGAACTGAAACAGGACTCACCATCAGGATGAGCTTGGAGGTGACCGCAGGAGAAAGGACCGGCTCAGCGGCTCAACAGAAATATGGTCACCCTAATGTATGAGCACCGTTCCCTCACCAACAGACGCCTGGATTATTCTGATAATCTGACTCCGACACAGTCCACACTCAGTGCAGATCAACAGACCGACTGAAACAGACTGAAACTGTAAACAGTGTTAGTTCCAGAGTAGTTTCAGTGTAGTTAGCTCCTCCTGCAGGGAGATATGAAGAAGTGTCCACCAGAGTCTGAACACAACTCAAGAAGCAGTTTGGATGAGCTGAGAAATGTATTTGATCAAAGAACTTTTTTCCCGTGACATAATTGAATTCCTCCTTTGCCATAAAGTTTCTGAATTAGGTTTTTGTCTTCTCTCCAGTGAAATCTGTTTCTAGTCTTGTCCTGCAGTTGGTCCACTGTGACTCAAATGTTCAGTTAATCCTCCCTTTTCTTTTCCTCCTGTAACTTGTGACCTTCTGTGTTTATCCTGACACCTGCTTTTGTAAAAAGTGTTTTGTCAACAGTTTAAAGACACTGACCCAGAGCTGCCACCACACAACACCTCCCTCTGTCACTCTGCAACGGAAGGAAGAGACAGAGACGACAGAGAGGGAGGGAGAGAAGAGAGAGAAGGGAGAGAGAGAAAGAGAGGGGAAAGGGAAAGAGGTCAGACAGGGAGGCCAAGAAAGAGGGGAGAGAGGGAGAGAAAAGAGAGAGGGGAGAGAGGGAGGAGAGAGTGAAAGAGGGAAGGTCAGAGAGGGAGGCCGAGAGAGAGAGGGGAGTGAGAAAGAGGGGGAGAGAGGGAGACAAGGGAGAAAGAGGGGAGAGAAGGATTAGAGACTGAAAGAGGGGAGAAAGTGAGGAGATAGGGGGAGGTAGAGAGAGTGAGGGACCCAGAGGCGTCTGAACACACTACAACACCTCTGTGACTTCTGCAGAGAGGAGGAAAGAGAGAGTGAATGAGTGACACGACAGGAGGAGCAGGAGAAAGAGTGAGAGAAAGGGAGGTAGAAGATACTGTAGATACTGTATGCTCTGTGCACTAAAAACAATCATGTTTTTAAGTTTGACTTTCATTTTTGATGCTGTGAGTGCCCCTCCCTTTACTCCACCGGTTAAGTCACTCCCCCTTCAGAGCACTATCACAAGACAATCAGTGTGATTCCTGCATTCTGGGTAAACACTATTGTTAACCTAATTTGAAATAAACACAGGTTCAAATCAGGACTAGGATTAAGAAGGACTAAAGCAGGACTAAACCAGGACTAAAGCGGGACTAAACCAGGACTAAAGAAGGACTAAAGCAGGACTAAACCAGGACTAAAGCGGGACTAAACCAGGACTAAAGAAGGACTAAAGCAGGATTAAACCAGGACTAAAGAAGGACTAAAGCAGGATTAAACTAGGACTAAAGAAAGACTAAACCAGAACTAAACTAGAAAAGCACTCAGAGAGCGCAGACCTCCGCCAAGGACTACCCCCATTTTTTATATAAATTGCGATAAAATTAGTCTTGTGGATCAGATCCGGATCAGCCTTTGGAATATGAAAGAGGATCCCATTGTCCATCCCTGAGTCAAATTTCATGGGGTTTGGTCAATAATTAACCGAGATATTGAGAAACCAAATTTTTGGCCCCATTTACCACAATGTTAACTAAAATTTCAAAGTGATCCAGAATCCAGGGTTTCTTCCGGATCACCCCCAAAATGAAATCAGTTCTTCCTTTTCACATTTCCAACAAATCCTGAAAATTTCATCAAAATCGGTCCATAACTTTTTGAGTTATGTTGCTAAAAGACAAACAGACAGACAAACGTGGGCAAAAACATAACCTCCTTGGCGGAGGTAAAAAGAACTAAAGCTGGACTAAACTAGATCTAAACTAGGACTAACTGAGGTCTAAAAAAGGACTAAGGAAGCACTAAGGAAGGACTAAACCAGGTCTAAACCAAGATTAACCTAAGTCTAAACCAGGACTAAACCAGAACTAAAAAGCTGCATCAGTACTTAACCAGGACTCTGTGGAGATGCTGTTGCTTACTTTACTTGAAATGTTCCATGGCATTAAACTTGTATTGTATTTATTCTGCTACAGATGTTTTTATTGCTCAAGGGTGACAGGAAAAGCAGTAACATCACCATGGAGACGAGCAGGTGATGGATCCTCTATGAGAAAAGTTTCGCAGTGGAGCTTTAACTTCTAAACGTCTAAAGAAGTGAAGGCTAAATCAGGACAGAATCAGAGCAACTGTAATATTACGTCTCCCTTGCTCATTTAATTAAAAATCGTAATAGCTCCCAAATTTCCTGTGGTGTTGTTGAATGTGATGTAATTGTGAGAAACTGGTCATAGACGAGTTCTAATTACAGCTCCTCAATCCTCAGAGACACTGTACACACACACACACACACACACACACACACTCCTGTAGAGAACCATCAGAACACACACTCATCACACTACACACATCTGGGCCTATCCATCACAGCTCATCACAAACACAAACACCAGGACTAAAGCAGGACTAAAGCAGGACTAAAGCAGGACTAAACCAGGACTAAAGCAGGACTAAAGCAGGACTAAAGCAAGACTACACCAGGACTACATGAGGATTAAACCAGCACTATATCAGGACTAAACCAGGACTAAACCAGGATTAAACTAGGACTACACCAGGACTATACCAGGTTTACATCAGGACTACATCAGGACTATACCAACAACAACAAGGACTATACCAGCGACTAAACCAGGACTACATTAGGACTACCTCACGACTAGATCAGGACTAAACCAGGATAACACCAGGTCCACATCAAGACTACACCAGCAACTAAACCAAAATTAAACCAGGACTACATCAGGACTAAACCAGGACTACACCAAAATTAAACCAGGACTACATCAGGACTAAACCAGGACTACACCAGGACTACATTAGGACTAAATCAAGACTACATAAGGACTACATTAGGACTACATCAGGACTACACGAGGACTACATCAGGACTACATCAGGACTAAACCAGGACTAAACCAGGGATTAAATGAGGACTAAATCAGGACTACATCAGAACTACATCAGGATTACACTAGGACTAAACCAAGACTACACCAGGACTACACCAGGACTAAACCAGGACTACATCAGTGATTAAATGAGGACTAAACCAGGACTACATCAGGACTACATCAGGACTACATCAGGACTACACCAGGACTACACCAGGACTACACAAGACTACACAGGACTACACCAGCGACTAAATCAGGTCTGAATCTGGACTAAACCAGGTCATAAACTCAGACACAGTAGATCTGTCAGTGGGGTTCGTGGATGCGGTTGCTAGGGACCTGTCCAGGTGAGGCGGTCTCCATGGAAACGGAGATCAAAGATGAGGAATATTTTTAATGTTTCTCACGCGGCTAAAGTGTGTGCTCGTTAAAACCTCGTTAACAGAAAATCCAATTAGGATTTGTTTACAGGAAATTAACACAGAGTAAACATGAGGGGATTAAAACGGATTAAGGAGAACTAAACCAGGATTTAAAGGGGTCTAATCCAGGATGTAACCAAGGCTAAACCAATTAATAAAAGAATAAGAGAACTAAACCAGGACTTAATCAGTGGTCTCCAGTTCCCCGTCCTTTCTGGTTCTGACGCTGTCTCCTTTCTCTCTGGTCCAGGTAAAGGGGACGTTTTCGGGGACGTGTTCTGGAAGGAGACGTCGTTAGCTCACGCCTGCGCCAACGTCCGCGCGCTCACCTACTGCGATCTCCACGTCATCCGGAGAGACGCCCTGCTCAAAATCCTCGAGTTTTACACCGCCTTCGCCAACTCCTTCTCACGCAACCTCATCCTCACCTGTAACCTACGGAAACGGGTAAGAACCAGGACTAAAACAGATCTAAACCAGGGCTAAACAAGGACTAAACCACAACTAAACCACGACTAAACCAGGACTAAACCACGACTAAACCAGGACTAAACTAGGTCTAAACCACGACTAAACCAGGACTAAACTAGGTCTAAACCAGGACTAAACCACGGCTAAACCAAGACTAAACCAGTACTAAACCAGAACTAAACCAGGTCTAAACCAGGGCTAAACCAAGCCTAAACCAGAACTAAATCAGGACTAAACCAGCACTAAACTAGGACTAAACTAGGACTAAACAAGGGCTAAACCAAGACTAAACCCTTACTATACCAGGACTAAACTCAGGCAGCAGTGGCTCAGTGGTTTTGAGCACTTCACACATTTCTGAAGATTCACAGCTGTAACATGTGTTTTGTGTCCTTGTGCAAGACACTTGGCTCTGTGTGAATATGATGTGTGAGTGTTGGTGGTGGTCAGAGGAGCAGATGGTGCAGATGGGCAGCTTTTGTCAGTCTGCCCCAGGACAGCTGTGGCTACAAAAGTGTCTTACCACGATGGAGTGTGGAGTGAATGATGAGTTCAGTTATCCAGTCTGACGCCACCGAGCGCGTCCACTCAATTTCATTTCTCTCCACTGACTAGGTCATTAATCAGAATACAGTAGACGGTTCGCAAAAACCCCGGAAGTGCAAGTTCGGGCAAAAGCCAATCAGCGAAGAGCCATACATTCAGTGTTGGCAACGATTCCCGAGATTGATTTTTTTAAAGCCGATCGATCGATTTAAAGCCAGAACAAAGAGAATGTTTGGTGAATTTCATCAAGGGGGAAGACGTTATTTTCCTTCTTCCTACAGGATTTGGGAAAATCTTAATATACCAGTTTGCCCCGTTAGTGGTGCATTGCATACGTCATCACCAAATAGCAGCGATTGGTTAAATAAAAAAAAATTTTGAGGGAATGAATCTTTACCCTGCGAGGTCAGATGGTTTCCACGAAGTGAAACCGCCTGATGAATCAGGCTAGAGTTCAGTGCAGCCCTGTAAAGTACAATGTATGTGTAAGGCATAGTTTTCCACATCTAAACCAGTCCTAAACCAGGTCTAAAACTAGGTTAAACTAGGTCTAAACTAGGTCTAAACTAGGTCTAAACCAGGTCTAAACCAGGTCTAAACTAGGTCTAAACTAGGTCTAAACCAGGTCTAAACCAGGTCTAAACCAGGTCTGAACTAGGTCTAAAACAAGTCTAAAACAGGTCTGAGCCAGGTCTGAACCCAGACTGCAGATGTTCAGGGTGAAGGACAGGACACAGTAGGTGACTCTGATTCATAATTGAACATTTGAGTTATAATGAGAGAAAAGTGTTTTATTTATGAAGGAAGATGACGTGCAGAGACATGAACCCTAGACACACACACGCGCACACGCACACACACCGACACACAGCCACACAAAAACACACACACAGACAGGGCACTAGAGACCCGTAACAGAACTGTATACCAATCCACTTTATTAAACCTTTATCAAAAAGACATATTTTCTTTGGTTCCTTTCAGCACATTTGAGTTATGCTGAATTTTTAGAGACTGTTTTTAACCAGGTTTAAACCAGGTTTAAACCAAGATTGAACAAGTTCTAATCCATCTTCCAAGCAAAATAAACTACAAAACTAAACCTGAACAAAAGGAGACCTAAGTATAGCAGTAATAACAACAACAAACTGTGGAAAATGAACCAGAGACTAAATCCAAAATTGAAGCAGTACCTACCAACACTGACTCAAACACTGAACTCGGTCTAAACAAGGCCAAACCAGGACTAAAAATGGACTAAATCAAGAACTAAAATGGGCCTAAACCATGTCCAGGACTTGATCCATCCAAAAGTTCATAGATTTTTTGCATTTAACATAACTGCTTTTACTGCATTTTCTAAAACAAAAATGCAAACACTTCACAAACCAAGTATAGCACAAAATGATCATAATACTCAGCTCTCTAATCTCTAATCTCTCTTTCTAATAACTGATTTGCATATTCATATACGGTGCCCAGTGAGGGTCATTTTTCATTAAAGCCAAAGTGAAAAAAGCTGAGTCTATAAAAAACAGCAGTAAAACTTTATTAAATCGTGTTTCAAAGTTCACCTCGCTCTGAGCAATGGCCGACCTTTGTGTCTGACACTTAACTCGGAGATTCATCTTGAAATCAGCACGGGTTTTTTTTATTCTGTTGTTTCATTGTATTCAAATTGTATGAACAAAATACAGCTAAGAGGAAGTACAGAAGCTTTCAAAAGGCAATTCTTGCACTATTGTTCACCGTCTTTATGTTTTAATGTGCTGTAGCAGATTTTTACTGTCTTAAAAACCTGAAAAACAGAACTAGTTCTTTATAAAAACTTTGCAGTGGTCCAGCGTTATTCCTCACTTACCTTACACATTCAGAGTATCCTAATTAGTTTTTAAGACTTTGTAAGAGCTTTTCATAATGCTCAGAGACCAGAGTGGAGTTTTGGGATCACAGTAGAGCTAACAACAACTAGCATACTAACACACACTTTCTGCTTGTCGAACAAAAAGCACTTTATAATAAGGAATTTTTTTATTTTTTTTTAACAGCGTATGAACGTGTATTGTGTATTACAGGTGGGTAGTAATTACACACGGGTAAGTCAGGAGTAAACCAGGTCTAAACCAGGACTAATCTTGGACTTAAGAGAGAGAACGTCGAGCAGTTTGTCCGCAAAGCGCGATCGGGCAATTGCCGTGTTTAACTCCGTGAGGTGTGGAGCTGAGCCTGTCCTTTCTCCTGCGATCACCTCCGAGCCCGTCCTGACGGTGAGTCCTGTTTCAGTTCTGGTTTAATCCTGGTTTAATCCTGGTTTAGTCCTGGTTTAGTCCTAGTTCAGTCGTGGATTAGTCCTCCTCTTCAGTCCTAGGTTAGTCCTGGTTTGGTCTTGGTTCAATCCGTGGCGTAGGCAGCGCAAAAGTTTGATATAATCTCGGGTTAACGGGCAGGTGCGGTGTTGTACTGTGTGGTTGTGGTGTTGTACTGGGGGTCTCCAAAAATGGAGTCGTGCAGTTCTCTGCGCTGTAGGCTCCATTACGGAATAAATGAATCTTTAGTTCGCTACATAAAGAAGGAGGAAAATAACAAAAGGACGACAGCAGAAATAAGTTTTAAGAAGGATGTAAAAGGTGTTGCACCTGTCCTGTCTGAGAAAAGTGTATAAAGTTTGTGCTGAGGGGTTTTACAGCCTTAAAACAGATGGAATAATTGTAAAATATAAAGCAGACTACTTCGTGGATTTCACCTATCGCGGGTTATTTTTAGAACGTAACCCCCATGATAAACGAGGGTCCACTGTACTCTCACCTCACAACCTGTGCACATGGACTCACAGTTGTCCCGACCGGGATGGAAAACTGAGAATTTCTTGTACAAGTCATTGTTAAAAGCCCTTTTGCGCTTCGGTATGTTGCAGGCTGACCGACTGTTTGTGTCTACTCGCTCCTTCTGAGTCACAGAGAACTACAAGAGATGCTCAGTTTAATGAACTGTACAGAAAACCCAGACATTTGCATCGCTTTATAAAAAAAAAAAACCTGGACGCCCAGGACAGGATGCAAAATACGGACATGTCCGGGGAAAAACGGACGTTTGGTCACCCTAGACGACGTCTCACACAGCATTGAAAACATGGAGATTTTAAAGTTACTGTTATACCGCAGCCAGGACATGTACAGATAATTTGTTTTAAGGAGGAAATTCAGAAGGAGAAGGACGAGGTTTTTGGCCATGGCGTTTTGTGGGGCGGTGGCAGCAACGTTCATAGAAAGAAACGTTTGAGTGTGAAGTCGCAGCCAAGAGTGGTGGGATTGATCTTTGCTTCACTGCTTCACTCACACTGAGTTCAGACACAATTTTCATATGATGAGAAGAACGTTTGTTTACATTTGTGAGCGCCTACTTGTACCACTCTACAGTCCCTGACAAAAGTCTTGTCGCTTATCCATTTTGTAGAAACAAAAGCTTATAACTTGACTTTAAATGAATCGATTGGTTTTAGAAATGTCTCATATGAAAGCTAAAACCCTCCCAAATTATGCTCAATAAACTAAAATAAATTTGCTTCACTGAAGAAAGATTGATCATTTAATGAACACAGAAAGGTCAGATTTTGGCAAGACAAAAGTTTTGTCGCCTACATAAAATTGAACAAATAATTTACTTCAAATACAAAAATATGTTGCATAACGTCAGTGAATGAAGTAGTGGTGCTGTGAGATCCATATTTAATATCTTGTATGACTTCCATGAGCTTGAAGGACACATCCATGTGGTTCAACAATGATTCATACAATTTGTTGATGAAGTCATCAGGAATAGCAAAGAAAGCGTCTTACATGCCTCCCAGAGTTCATCAAGATTCTTTGGTTTTGCCTTCCATGCTTCCTCTTTCATTCTACCCCAGACATGCTCAATGATGTTCATGTCTGGTGACTGGGCTGGCCAGTCCTGGAGCACCTTGATCTTCTTCGCCTTGAGAAACTTTGATGTAGAGATAGAAGTATGCGATGGAGCACCATCCTGCTGCAAAATTTGACCCCTTTTATGGTTGGGAATGTAAGAGGAGCTAATACTTCTTGATATTTTAGGTTATTGATATTTGCCTTCCACCCTGCAAATGTCTCGCACACCCCCAGACTGGATGGAACCCCAGACCAGGATTTTTCCGCCACCAAACTGAACTGTTTTCTGGGTGAATCTTGGATCCATGCGGGCTCCAGTAGGTCTCCTGCAATATTTGCGGCGGCTGTGATGTAATTCAGCCGAGGATTCATCTGAGAAATCCACCTTCTGCCACTTTTCCAGTGTGTCCATCCTTTTAGCAGGCTGTGGGCCTTGGCAAATGCCACACGGTTTTTTTTTATTGCCTTTTGTTTAGTGCTGGTTTCTGTGCACTGATTCGACCATGGAGGCCATTTCCAGACAGAATT